CTCTGCCACATGTGTCCAAACGCAGTGTGAGATGACACCTTCTTTCATCACACTCAGTGCTGCTCCTTCCTGCTCAGAGTGCTCTGTTCCAAATCTTACCTGCACTGGGCTGGGTTCACGTGCCGCCCAGTCAACGCGATCTCCCTGACGTCCTGGCTGAAGTGGCATCGTCCTCCTTCCTCTACATTCTTGTTGTTGAATTGCCCTCTTCTTTTCTGCTGCTTTACTCCAGAATGCTGTTCCAACATTCTCAATTAGAAATCTGCAATTCGGTTTCAACACATCTGACTACTACAGTCTAGTTTTCTCTATTCTTTCATTTGCCCTCTCCCCATCCCTTTATTGTACATAAAGTAACTGGTGTATGTGCACAAGCATTTGCATTTTTTTTTTAACTAAATGGCCAATGGTATGTTTTGATAGACATCAAATGGAGATGGGATGGGGAAAAATACTGGTTCTGTGAAAACACCCCCTCTCTCCAATAGTGGCATGCTCATGCAGCTCCGATCTTCATATTCCAGTAAGTTATTTTGCTCTCACTGTTTAACAACAACAACAAAAAAAGAACAACATAAAAATTCTTGCATACCTTGTTTGATTGGAGAATTTTAATGTTTTTCATTTTATCATTGTAAAACCAAAGACAATTTTATAACTTTCTTATACGTAGCTGTTACATGTAGGGCAATCCGTCTTTAAGTAGGGATAAATTACTCTTAAAAAAGGAACCCAGATAGCTTTCCCTTTAAGTCAAGTGTCATGTTGTTTAAATAAACATCTTGTTTAAAAAATATATATATCCTGTACATTGGACCATAGCCAAGTCTATATTAAAGCATAACCAAATAATGTACCAGCATCTATAAAGTAATAATTTGGGGCCTTAAAGAAAAATATTGGTTCAAATTCAATACTAGAAATACTAGAAATTCAATCAGAAAGTAGATAAGAGATGGGCTAGCATCTAGTTTTCTTAACCAATCTCCGAATAGTACCCAACAGTTTTTATTTCCCTTCATAACTATCTGGCACATTCGTTTGCTCATAAAAAAGATCAGTGTCTATTTATAACAGGTTTTATTTTTAGAACTGCCAGCATCTACTGAGGAAACACTATTCATGGTTTCCTAGAGCACAGATGCCGCATACGTTAGCAGTGTTTCAATAAAAGGAGTAGTAGGAATGCTCTCCTTCAATTGCTGAGCACCCCTTTCTCTCACTCCCACAGCCAGGCTGAACCCATAGCCTCAGATCACCGGCAGACTCAGAAAGAGAGGAAGTGAGTCAGAGCCCAGGTCAGCGATGCTGCTAAGCCAGAGAGGAAAAGAGGGCTTCAGAACCCTGTAAGGTTTACTTATGTGCTTGCAGCATGATGTGAAAAGGAAATCCCTCAGAAAAGTCAAAAAGGAAAAGCATCTTTAGGGGTGTCGAACTCAATCAGAGAAGGGGCCAAAATCTAAAATCCAGCCTAAATCGCGGGCCGAATGGTTTACTGAACAGTCATAAACTGTCATTGTGATGGAAACGCAGCGGAGTGCAGTGATGACAGCGCGGTGCGGGCCACATTGCAAGGCCTGGCGGGACGGATTTGGCCCGCGGGCCTTGTGTTTGGCACATGTGAAAGTGCTCTGAGGACGTGGGTTTGGCTTCTAATTCGTTTTTTTTTAGGACGCCTTGCTTCCTTGTGCACACATTTGCTTCACCCAACCTAGACGTCTTCACTGGATGCAGCACCGAACACTGTGGGCTGCCCTGACTTGTGCTGTATTATATAATGACAGATAATTGCAATAAAACACATCCACACATGTTTACAACTTCAAAGTTCCTGATATGAACAACTCTAGTCTTCACAAAATGTCAGCTTTTACATAGCTAAACCAATGTAAAACTAGTAAACAAATGCCCTATTTCTCTGAAGGAAGCACCTGCTAGCAAAACATGAGTTTTTGCTCTCAGAGGGGCCAAGACAATACATATGCCTGTAAATCACAGAGTAAGCTTCCTGGAAAGGAATCCATAAAAAGGGGTTATGTCAAGCTCCTTTCTCTCTGTCAGACTTGCATCAGTCCTGGTGAATTTCCCCAGATGACTGTCTTGCTACACCTGCTTATCTTCAAGTCAGACTGGTGGTCATTTTCTGCTATTACACTCACCAACAGGACAGAAAAAAACAGAAAGGATTTTCAAAATAATCCTTTATCCTGAGCACTGTCAAGTTATACCATATTTCATTCCGATTAACACTGTTTCGATTGGAACTGCCCAAACATTAACCATCCTATATAATAAAAGGCTAATATGCAAATCAACTGAACAGTGGAACAACCAACAACCGGTTGCTATGACCCACACTAACCACCAGGAGGCAGATGCTCAACATAGGAGTTGCCCCCTGAAGGCTAGTGCACTCCCACAGGTGGAGTCTACTCAGCCAGAAGCTGGGCTCACAGCTGGCGAGTGCAGGGGCAGTAGTGGTAAGAGCTTCTCCCGCCTCCGCAGCACTAAGGATGGGGAGCAGACCTAAGCCGTCAGTCAGACATCCCCTGAGGGCTCCCAGAATGCAAGAGGGTGCAGGCCGGGCTGAGGGACACTCCACACACACAAGTGCATGAATTTCATGTACCGGGCTTCTATAATAGTAATGATAGAATGTAATCAGACGTTCTACCTTATTCAGGTTTCTTCATTTAGCTCAATTTTCAATGTCTCTGCTACTTCCCAATTCTAAACAGATCAAACTCTAGAAATAACCTCATTCTCTTTTTCTGCATCCTCCCAACCAAGAAGGTCAGTTCTTACATGGGATTCCTGACTTGGGCCAGTTAATGATGTAAGATTGAGAGTGAGAGGACAGGGCAGGGCGAGGCTAACTCCTGACTAGAACCCTGCCTCCTTGTGGGGCAGAGTGGAGGAGTTATCCTCCATTTTGTATAACTGGACCCTAGTCCTCACCCAACCAATCAGGGTCAGCCAAAGCAGTGACATCACCACCGGTGTAAAACCCCTGGACTTGGCGAAGTTCGTGCTCTTGTCCGCCGTGCTGTCAGCGTGAGTGGGACAGAGCCCATGTTAGCATGGAAGAGGCTCTCTTGTTAATTGCATCGGACTTGGCTCCCTGCTGGTCTTTGGGGATCACGGAATCTCGGTACAAGAGCGTGTGGAGGACCTCTGACCCCTGGCCGTTGCCTCAGATTGTGCACATGTGACTGACTCACTGCACACGAATCGCCAGGATGGCCAAGGACGCAGATATGCTCCACTCTGTGACTTAGAAAGTTCACCCCACTCATCTAAAATTAAAACACACTAAGTGATGTCAGCAGCATGGCAGTACGAGAAGACATCCAGTCTCTCCCCTTGAAATTACAACAAATCGGACAAAAGATTTCCTGCTCAACAGACAAGCATGCCTGAGACATCACGCACTGAGACACCGTGAGGCGGCTTATCTGAGCGAGTGGTGGGGAAAAGATGCAGAGACAGAAGGTGGAGAAGTGCAGAGACAGAGGCCAAGCACACCACAACACACCCCAGGGCCCTTTAAACGCAACAGCAGTGAAAGGCCTGGATACAGCACCCACTGGGCAGTCCAGACAAGAGGTCAGAGACAGCAATTGAGCCTAAATGACTGGCACACATTGAGACTGGACCCTGGGCCAGGAGCAGAAGCATAATCTAAAAAGTTACAGCACTCCAAAGCCCAACAGCACCACACAAATGATTCTACAGATGCAGGAATCTGCCTACCTCTCCCCCTGAGGCCCACTAGGCAGCAAAATCCTCACTCAGCAGATAAAACAAGGGCTGAAAAAAAAATAATAAAAATAAAAAAATAAAACTTCTAAGTGGTCTGTACTCACTGTGGCTAACCCCACAAGAAAGGGCAAAACTGTAGACGCATGAACCCACATTCCCCACCCACCCATTCCCAACCATCATGGCACAGCCTGGCAGAGGTAGCTGGGACAATTCTGCCACAAGCTTCTGCCTATAGAAAGATGATTTAACACAAACATAACTTCATTAGCTATAAGGAAAATGCAAATCAAAACCACATTGAGATATCACCTCACACCTGTTAGAATGCTATTATCAATAAGAAATAACAAGCGTTGGAGAGGAAATGTAGAAACTGGAAAACTCATTCACTGTTGGTCAGAATGTAAACTGGCATGGCCACTATGGAAAAAAATATGGAGGTTCCTCAAAAATTAAGAATAATCACCGTGGCCAATTATCTCAATTTGTTAGAGTATCATCCTGATATGCCAAGGCTGTAGGTTCAAACCCCAATCAGGACACATACAAAAATCAACCAATGAACCTATAATGAGCAAAACAACAAACTGAAGTCTCTCTCTCTCTCTCTCTCTCTCTCTCTCTCTCTCTCTCTCTCTCTCCCTCTCCCTCTCCCTCTCCCTCTCCCTCTCCCCCCCCCTGCATCCCCTCTCATTCTCTTCCTTGTTCTCTCTATAAAATTAATTTTAAAATAAATAGAGTTTAACGCATGACCCAGCAACCGCTTTTCTGGGTATCTACCAACAAAAAAGAAAAAGAAAAACATTTTTTTGCAAAGATACGTGTACCCCTATGTTCTTTGCAGCATTAATTACAGTAACCAAGACATGGCAAAAACCCAAGTGTCTTTTGATGGATGACTGGATAAAGAAGATATGGTACATAAACACAAGGAATACTGCATAGCCACAAGATGAAATACTGCCATTTGTAACAGCATGGAAGATCTTGCAAGTATCATGCTAAGTGAAATAGGTCAGATGGAAAAGGACAAGAACCATATGATTTCACTCATATGTGGGAAGTAAGACAGAAAGCAAGAAATTAACAAACAGAACAAAATAATTCATTCCCACAGAAAACAGTACAGTGGTAATCAGAGGGGAAGGGGGTAGAGGGAGGTTGAAGAGAGTAAACTGGGACAAACATAGAGAGATAAAGAGAGACTAAACTTTGGGTGATGAGCACAATACAATAAACAGATAATGTATTATAGAATTCTACGCTTGAATCTTACACAATCTTATTAACCAGTGACACAAATAAATTTCATTAAAAATACCAAAAAAGATCATATGTCTTTATCCCTATTAAACTTGCCTGCACATTTCCAGACCATACCAGACATCAACCTCACGGATATTACAAAGACTCACAAAAATGCTTCCTTAAAGTTATTGGGGGGGTTTTTGTATTTAAAAAATATATTTTATTGATTTTTTATGGAGAGGAAAGGAGAGGGATAGAGAGTTAGAAACACCGAAGAGAGAGAAACATCCATCAGCTGCCTCCTGCACACCTCCTACGGGTATGTGCCCACAACCAAGGTACACGCCCCTGACCAGAACCGAACCCGGGACCCTCAGTGGATAGGTCGACACTCTATCTACTGAGCCAAATGGGTTAGGGTAAGTTATTGGTTTTACTAAAGATAAAATAAACAAATGGGACTACATCAAAATAAAAAGCTTTTCGCAGCAAAAGAAACTATCAACAAAACAACAGGATAGCCCACTGCATGGGAGAATATATTTGCCAATATTATCACCAATAAGGGTTTAATCTCCAACATTTACAGGGAACTCATACAACTTAACAAAAGGAAGATAAACCACCCAATAAAAAAATGGGCAATGGACCTAATAGATACTTTTCAAAAGAAGACAGAAGGAAGGCCAAGGGACATATGAAAACATGCTCAAAGTCACTAATTATCTGAGAGATGCAAATCAAAACGACAATGCGGTACCGTCTCACACCTGTCAGAATGGCTATCATCAACAAATCAACAAACGACAGGTGCTGGCGAGGATGCAGAGAAAAAGGAACCCTCGTGCACTGCTGGTGGGAATGCAAACTGGTGCAGCCACTGTGGAGAACCGTATGGAGTTTCCTCAAAAAACTGAAAATGGAACTCCCTTTTGACCCAGTAATTCCTCTTCTAGGAATATATCCCAAGAAACTAGAAACACCAATCAGAAAGGATATATGCACCCCTATATTTATAGCAGCACAATTTACAATAGATAAGATTTGGAAACAGCCTAAGTGCCCATCAGTAGGTGAGTGGATTAAAAAACTGTGGTACATCTACGCAATGGGATACTACACTGCTGTAGAAAGGAAGGAGTTCTTACCATACCCAACAGCATGGATCGAACTGAAGAGCATTATGCTAAGTGAAATAAACCAGTCAAAGAAAGATAAGTATCACATGATCTCACTCATTTATGGAATATAATGAACATCATAAACTAATGAACAAAAACAGATAAAACCTCAAAGGGAAGGCAGGGGAGGGTGGGGAGTAAGGGGAGAGATCAACCAAAGGACTTGTGTGCATGCATATAAGCCTAACCAATGGACACAGACACCAAGGGGGTGAGAGCATGAGTGGGGGGATGAAGGGGAGAGAGTAATGGGGGGATACGGACACATATATAACACCTTAATCAATAAAGAAATTTTAAAATTAAAAAATAAAGTTATTGGTTTTATATTTTAAACCTTACAATTAAAACTTGATTTTTATCTCCAATTTTTAAAAAATGTTAGCGCATTTTTATGTGTAAAAAAAAAGAAACAAAACAGAACAAAACACCATATACTCCCTCTGACCCCTGCACATGGTTTCCCCAATAACTCCTTGCTTTGGTGTGGTACATTTGTTTGTTGAAGAGCCAACACTAACACATTATTATTAAAACCTTTAGTTTGCATTTGGATCCACTCTGTGTTGCACATTCTCTGGGTATTGCAAATGCATAAGGGCACGTATCTTTCATGATAGCACCACACTGTCCTAAAAATCCCATGCTCCACCTCCTCCACCTCCCCCACCTTTTCCCAGACCCCTGACAGCCACTAATCTTTTTACCAAATTTCATGTAGTTGGGATCATATGGTATGTAGCCTTTCAGGATGACTTCTTTTAAAGCATCCATCTTATATAAAAACTGCTGTTTGAAACCTTAACCCTGCTATTTTGGCTTCTGTCAGTGCTTGCTTGCTTAAATAATAAGAAAAATAAGACTACTCCCATTCCAGAGAAGCCATAAACCTTCCCCAGATGAAGTTACCAGTGCTGGCGCCAGGCCAAGCCTTTGGTTGAGGACTCAAAGCCCCAGCACATAGGGCTCTTTAAGAACTTGCAAAGGGGACCAGAAACACCCCATATTTGGGAAACAATGAAGGTAAAAACATACAAATAGGGAAAGTTCCTCCATGTCGGAGCCGGAATTTGAAACAATTTCTCTCTGCTCCCTCGGAATAATAACGTGTAACTCCGTCTAAGCATTCCTTGGTTCTTCCCTGTCTCCTGTAACACCTTCTCCTGGCAACATGCGTTTTAGGTTCTTCCATGACTTTGTAGCTTGGTAACTCACGTCTTCTTAGGACTGAGGAACATGCCACCTGAGGAGGCGTCTCTCTTCTTGTCTTCGTCTTCCATCACCATCACCATCACCATGTGGCTCTGAGCCAAGCACTATTCCCAGTGCCTCCTGCATGTTGATTTATTTAATCTTTCTAACATCTTTATAAGGTGGGCACTAGCAATGTGTCCATTTTACAGAAACAGGGGAGACGTTGTATAGGAATGGTTTGCGGAGGGTTTCAAAGCTGGTAAATGGAAGGGGAGGTGATTCCAGGCAGCCTGGCCCAGAGCTCATGCCCTTTGCTACCACCCATCCCGCTGGAGGGGAGCGTCTGACGTCCCTTTTACCGCGGGAGCCGCCGCGAGGCCGGTACCCGGCAGGGCGCCAAGGAGGAGCCTGCGGCCAGGACTCAGGAGCCGGCTGCCCCAGAGGCCGAGGCCGAGGCCCGGCCCCGCGGGGAGCAGGTGGAGGCGGTGGCCTCAGCCCCCGCGTCCCCACCCCCGGGGTGCAGCCCGGGCGGATGGGAGAGAAAGGGCAGGACCCCCGGCGATGATGGGAGACCTTTGCTCGGGTTTGCGTGTAGGCACGGTGCCAGGGGCTGGTTTGGGAGAACCTGTCTATGAATAGGGGTGATTTATAGAGATCTTTAAGTTTCCTTCAGCAAATTCTTTCTCCCCTCCCCACAGACCCATCTCCAACCATTGTTACCTCCCTTCCACAGGTCCGGAAACCTTAACACCTTCCTCTGCCGTGTTTCTTTTATTTCTATTTCTTTGCATCAGTATCAATGTCTTTTGCATACTTGGCATCTTTATTCGGACCTGTAAACTTTGTCGGACGTGCCCACCTGGGAAGGAGATGGGCGGGTCCAAAAGGGATAGAAACCGATGGAACGGTCGAGCCCACAGGGAAATGTAAGGTGCCTGGCATTGCCCAGGTTCGGTGCCACAGACGATGGTGGGGGACTTCGTCTGCTTTTGTTTTTAGGGAAAAGTTATTAGGATGTATTTTGTGAGGCAGGTTTACAACACTACAAATCTTCACTAAGGAAGAGAAAACACCAGTCCCCGGATTGTTAAGATTATAGTCTTATGAGCTCACTTACCCAATAGGGACTTTTCACTTAATCTCATGTTAGGCGCACCAGTCAGTGATTAACCTGAACTAAAAGTTGTATAGACTTATTGTTTATTGCTGGTTTAGGGCCTTAATGGAGTGTAATTATGTATTACCAGCAGGGTGATTTTAACTGTGACTATCGTATAAAAACAAATCTTTATTTTTTTAATCCTCACTGGAGGGTATTTTCCCATTTATTTTTAGAGAGAGTGGGAGGAAGGGGGAGAGACAGAAATATCAATGTGAGAGAAACACATCCATGGGTTGCCTCCTGCAGGTGCCTGCAACCAAGTCACCTGCCCTTGACTCAAATAGAACCTGGGACCCTTCTGTCGGCTCGCCAAGGCTCTATCCACTGAGCAAACTGGCTAGGGCTAATAACAAATCTTGATATCCAGAAGCACATGAAGTTTGCAACTTTCGACCCTGCTCATTTTTGCAAAACTTAAGTCATCTTGGACCTTTTATACACAATTTTTAAAAATATTTTTTGATTTTTTAGAGAGGAAGAGAGAGGAATAGAGAGCTAGAAACATCGATGAGAAACATTGATCAGCTGCCTCTTGCACACCCCCCACTGGGGATGTGCCTGCAACCAAGGTACATGCCCTTGACCGGAATCGAACCTGGGACCTTTCAGTCCGCAGGCCGACACTCTATCCACTGAGCCAAACCGATTTCGGCTTTATATACAAATTTTAACTCAACCAAGCTGTGATCGAAGAACCTGTACTGTTTATATTGTGGTACGTTTATTATTAGAGCAGACAATGCTTTCTTTTCCAGTTGTATGTGACAATAAAGGGAAAAATCTTCAGATGCAATAGTTTTATACAGGATCTTCTGTCATGTTTTGGAGAAGCCTTGACCAATTTGACTTAGAGATGGAATGTAACTTTGCTTACAAAAATTGCTATTAAACTCCTGTGTACAGTGTTCTAATTTTCTGTGTGCATGCTAAAAGTGAAAAATTAATGTGAATGTAAAAAAATAATTTTCAATGCTTTAGTCACAGTGCTATACTGAATATATAATTGTACACACACTATAACTTCACTCTTTAGTATTTCTCATAAATAGTAACTCATCTGTCTACATATTATTCCTTTATTTGCATATTTAATGAGTGTATCTTGCCCCAAATTCAATAATATACATAGATGTCATTGGTAACATCCATGACTGGATTCAATCATCTAATCTTCAATTCATGTTAAATTCCTCTTACTATAAGGTATTTCCATAACAACTTCAGACAACTTAATCAAAGTTACACTTTCCAGCATCACTTGTAAAACTGAATGTTAATTTTAAAAGATTACGAAAATGTCATGCTAAACACCACTGGGCCTGCTTACATGCTTGCTGCTGTGAGGTGGTAGGACAGCTGGTGCTTCAATTTCAACACTGCCTCTTTTGGGCAAAGCCATAAGCTGGTAAGCAGCTTCCGCTGGAAAACTACTCCTGAAGTACTGTTTATGTTTTATTGACGGTATCGAAGGCATTCATGTTGGCCAATAACACCTGCTTCTATTACGTTAGTGAAGTCATGGCGTGCAGCTCTCAGAATCTCACCCACGTTGATAAAGACTGACTTAGCTTATTCCACCATCCCTCCTGGAGCAAGTTCCCCTTGAAGAGTTCATATCTAGCTGCCCTTGCATGTCAGACAGGGGTGGGGAATGTTCAGCCCACGGGCCTTATTTGGTCTGGTCCTGCCAAGGCATTAGTGGCGAGTTTATTAAATGTTTGAACAAAAATAGCAGGCTAATTTGTAAGTTGCTAATTCTCTATGGCCCAGGAATGATGTTATAAATATCCAAATGGCCCTTGGCAGAAAAAGGTTCCCCACCCGACATAAATGGTTCAGCAGACTCACAGAGCAGGACTGCAGGAACCAATGACACCTGAGGTTTTCAACCTGCCGATAACCTTTCTCATCAAGGATATGACTAATACTCTTCTCTTGTGGCCCCTGGAAGAACAAGCCCCACCTCCCCCATAAACCCTCGCCAGCCGTAAGGCTTCAAGATTCTGATTTTAATACGTAAATTTACCATGGGGTTTCAAAAAATAACACCAGGCCAGATCACTAAGAGCTTAATGTTTAAGTCCTACATATTGATATTGATGCATATAAGGACCAGAATGAAAGTAGGGGAATATTATATCTATGAATGACTATTCCCTCACTCCATTATCTTAGAACCATAGTTGGCAAACTGTGGCTCTTGTGCCACACGCGGCTCTTTGACCCCTTGAGTGTGGCTCTTCCAAAAAATACCACGGCCTGGGTGAGTCTATTTTGAAGAAGTGGCATTAGAAGTTTAAAAAATTTGGCTCTCAAAAGAAATTTCAATCATTGTACTGTTGATATTTGGCTATGTTGATTAATGAGTTTGCCAACCATTGACTTAAACCAATCTTAGATAATAGAACAATTAAGAATATACTTCTTGCTCTGATCAGTTTGGCTCAGTGGATAGAGCGTCGACCTGCGAACTGAGAGGTCCCAGGTTCGATTCCGGTCAGGGGCATGTACCTTGGTTGCAGGCACAATCCTGGTGGGAGGTGTGCAGGAGGCGGCTGGTTGATGTTTCTCTCTCATCGATGCTTCTGCTTCTCTATCCCTCTCCCTTCCTCTTTGTAGAAAATCAATAAAATACACACACACACACACACACACACACACACACACACACACACTTCTCACCGAAACCGGTTTGGCTCAGTGGATAGTGTGTCAGCCCCTGCGGACTGAAGGGTCCCAGGTTCAATTCTGGTTAAGAGCATGTACATTGGTTACGGGCAATCCCCAAGAGGGGGTGTGCAGGAGACAACTGATCGATGATTCTTTCTCACTGATGTTTCTAACTCTCTATCCCTCTCTCTTCCTCTCTGTAAAAAAACAATAAAATATATATATTTTTTAAAAGAATGTACTTCTTAAACAGACTGGCAGCTGTCAGAGGGGCAGGGAGAGGGAAGGATTGGATGAAAGAAGGTGGATTAGCCAAAGAACATGCTGTATATGCATAACCCATAGACACAGACAACAGTATGGTGATAGCTAGAGGGAAGGGGAGGGGGAGGGTTGGGTAGAGGTGGGCAAAGAGAGGGGAAATGGAAGCATCTGTAATATTGCCAACAATAAAAATAAAGTAAAACAAGATAGTGAATAGCCAAAAAAGAAAAAGAATATACTCCCTAGGATAGTTAAGAATAAAAACAACTGTCAATATTTTATCCTAATAAATGTTATTGCTAAAAATAATTGATATAAAACCTGACCATGGCTATAAACTATGCAAGGTAGAACTTAGATCTACAACAACAAAATTATTTAAAAATTATCTAGGAAAATTGGACTCAGAAAATATTATAACTGTAAGATAACATGAGCATCAAGGTGAAGTGAGAAGACCTTTTTGTATCTCCCTTTAAAAATACAACTTGGGCCGAGACTGGTTTGGCTCAATGGATAGAGCGTCGGCTTGGGGACTGAAGGGTCCCGGGTTCGATTCCGGTCAAGGGCATGTACCTTGGTTGCGGGCATATCCCCGGTGGGGGGTGTGCAAGAGGCAGCTGATCGATGACTCTCTCTCATCGATGTTTCTAACTCTCTATCTCTCTCCCTTCCTCTCTGTACAAAATCAATAAAATATATTAAAAAAAAAAATACAACTTGGGCCCTAACCAGTTTGGCTCAGTGGATAGAGCGTCAGCCTGCGGACTGAGGAGTCCTGGGTTCGATTCCGGTCAGGGGCATGTACCTTGGTTGCGGGCACATTGGCCGTAGGAGTTGTGCAGATGGCAGCTGATGGATGTTTCTCATTGATGTTTCTAACTCTCTATCCCTTTCTCTTCCTCTCTGTAAAAATGAATAAAATATATTTTTTTAAAAATACAACTTGGACAACTAGAATTCAACAAAGGATCCTCTGTTCAAAACACAAACAAGTAGAACAGACCCATCCATACACTGCTACACCTGAAGGTGGGTGCATTGGAATGAAGAGGGGAGGTGTGACAGTTGCCATAGATGCAGCTGTTTGGCAGCCACCACGACCCCAGCTGACAAGGTAGCAGTGGAGGGTAACCTGTGGCCCTTACATTATGGCCCAGAGGGTAGGAGGAGACGAAGCAACATCCCTGCTTAAACCTGTTAACCGGGGAGTTCCCTTTTTAATGACGCCTGTAACGGGCGCGTACTCTTTCACTAGGACATGTCAGTACGTCACGCCCGGAGGACGTAATTTCATATTATTATTTTTTATTTATACTTAATGAAAATAAATGAAATATATATATATTTTTGTTATATATATATATATATATATATATATATAAAGCACAAAGGAAAATACAAAATTACAAAAAAATAGAAAATACTGACCAAAAAAAATGGACACGTCGAATTAAAAAATTATAAATTTTACAAACAATGATAAAGATTACAAAAAATAGCCGAAACCGGTTTGGCTCAGTGGATAGAGCATTGGCCTTCAGACCTAAAGGTCCTGGGTTCAATTCCGGTCAAGGGCATATACTTTGGTTGCTGGCACATCCCAGTGGGGGGGGGGGGTGCAAGAGGCAGCTGATCGATGTTTCTCTCTTATCTCATCGATATTTCTAACTCTCTATCCCTCCCCTTTCCTTCATCTCTGTAAAAAATCAATAAAATGTTTAAAAAAAAAATTTTTTTTAAAGATTACCAAAAATATATACCGTCCCTCTCGGGGCACAACATATATTTCAAGGACGTATTCATACGTCCTACCCGTTCCCGATATTGTTTACGTTTGACGTATTTATAGGTCCCGCTCGGTTAACAGGTTAACAAGCAGGCTCCCATTGCAGCAAAGCCCAGTGGCAGTGGTCTGGCAGCCACTCTCACAAGG